AGCTGATGGACTAACTTTTGTTGGATAAAACAAATTCTTTTGACAAATTTCTTAGTAAAGGGTTGTCAATTTTCCCATTTATGTACCAAGTTGAATGCATCTTAGTTTTTCTTTAGAACTGATATAACGCTTAGACCAGACATAAAGTACCTCCTTGCTTTGAAAAACAATAAAAAATTGGCATCTACAAAATGAATTGTCTCCTATGTATAAGAAGATTTTAAACGTTGAAGTATGAGAAAACAATAATAAATTGTTGATGGAATTGATTCTTTGATCAATTCTTGAATAGCTGATGGACAACAAAAGTCAACTATATTGAGTTTTGAAAATCAAAATCGTATAGGCCGACGTAATTTTTCAATTTATTTATTCACCTCAAACATTTTCAACCTGTTTTCTCTTGCCCTATGAATATTCAAAATATTCATAACATAAGTTATAAAAGGAAGTTTTGATTTCGGAAGTTGGATAAATTATAAGTACCTCCTTGCTTTGGAAAAAAAAAAAAATAGCATCTACAAAATGAATTGTTGTATAAGAAGATTTTTAACGTTGAAGTATGAGAATACAATAATAAATGAAATTAGAAATGTTAACTGAGAGGCGAATAAATTGGCGATAATCACTCAAATTAATTGTTCTTTTCTTTTGACAAATTTCTTAGTAAAGCGTTGTAAATTTTCCCATTTAAGTACCAAGTTGAATGCATCTTGGTTGTTCTTTAGAACTGATATAACGCATAGACCAGACATAAAACAACACAAAGGCTTGGCAATTAATTGAGATCATACTAGTAAAATTGCCTTCAACACCATTGTTGTAAGGATTTATTCTTAATAAAACAGGCATTTATCCTTTTAGAATCGCCTTTTACAAGCGTACAAAATACGTCTGTTAACCATTAAGGGTTGACGGTCAACTTGTACCTTGTACCAATCTCATAAAGCCTCGTTGGTACAACAAAGCTCGATTAGTTAAAAAATGAAAATTATCTCATGAAAATGCTAAAAAGATAACTTATCGTAAAAACACGCCAAAACAGGTGAAGAACTAAGTGGTGATCCATATTCTTTTAATCTATTTTCCTTACTTAATTTACATAAGCTCATTTCTTCTGATATGTCACGTTCGTTCTTTTTTATATACCATTATAAATCGATATTCTTCCATCACTTTTTACACATATAAAAACCTAACTAACTGCAGGATTGGGGTCGATTATTTCTCAATGATCCGCCGTCGGACTTTTTAACAGACATGAACGTGACACATCTAATTTAGCACAGTTTTAACACAAATTATATCTAATACGAAAATGTCCTTGTATCCTCTAAAAATTGGAACAGAAGACTAAGAGACTCGCTACCATTCTCTAAATTCTCAATGGTATTCCTATTCGCTTTCTACAAAAAACGAAAGTATGACACCCTTCAATCATGTGGAACACAGTCGATGATTGATGTGATGATCAACCATCATTCCGCCATGTAACACTACACATTCACGATAATAAATACATTCTCTCTCAACACACGCTAGGGGAACAAAATTATCATTACAAAAGAACTCTGTTTCCTCGAAGAAACCGGGGGCCTGGATACTCGCTACCGATTCGAATCCAATCTCACATTAGATGGCATTGCTACACGCTCTATATATCGAGCCAGGACATTACACCTTTCAACTTGGTTTATACACACTTTAATTAGGGTGATTAAAGTCTAGCACAGTTTCTCTTCATGCCCGACAAAAATACGGTCTTTGGCCCAAAAGTAAGTGTCCGTCTGTCAACCTAGCATGGCCTATTCTTAATCGGTTGTTGTTTGCCCATTATTTTGTTAGGTATGACGAAATTGAAAGTCAATTTAGTTATTGTACATAGTAAATTAAGTTACGAAGAATAATGAAAAATTTCCGAGATGTAGAGAACAAGGATAGAAACACCAAATATTACAGCTTAACAACTTGGGACGCTTTATATAATGTCATTATTTAAAGAATAATTTTATGTAATTGAACTAATCATAAGTAAACACCAGCTTTAGGGACTGAAAAACATTTAAAGGGAGAAAGTAAAGGCGGAAAAGACTACTTCTTAAATGCAGGTGGGAAAACTCTAGTATAAAACATAGTTTCATTCGAACATTTTTTGCCTATCCGTTCTATTTTTGAACTCTTGAACAATCTAAACTTAAGTTTTGCCCACTAATTACACTTTTGTTCAAGGGTTGGCCTTTGATTGTGAATATCCTTGTGACAATGGAACGGGTGACCGTGACACAATAGGATCCGTGATTGGACAGTTACCCTCACCATGGTCTGTGATCATGGTGTCAATTGCAAAAAAAATCCAATGCATAGATTTTTTTATCACTACCACTGACACAGACACCAGAAACAAATCCTACGCTTTATTACGCATGAATGACAAATTAGATTAATTATTATATTTATTTGAAATATTAATTCATTATTTGTGTACAATGTTTTCAAATTTTGTTTTATTGTTTATGATTTTAAGTCTTCATTTCGTTACGACACTTTTTTTTATTTAATAAATAATGTAACTATTTGAATTATTCTACAACTTAGAAAAAGTAGATTTTTAAAGGTAATTTGTTACAAACTTATCTGACTTAGTCGGTTGCTGTATATGTTTTTGGTTTAAGTTGCGACTTATTTTGATATTTCAATATCTGGTCTTTTTCATTTGTCAGTAGTAATATATTTACATAACAATAACCATATTTGTGTGGTGATTAGTGACCGTTAATTGATAATTATTCAGAAATCGTGAGATGCGGTCTGGTATGATTTAGGTTTCAGAAAAATTGGTCAAGCGGACCACGAAATTAGTGAATTTTCAGAAAAACATTTTCTTTATCGTGCCAACGTTTCGATCTTTATTGAGATCATCTTCAGGGCTGAAAGTGTCTTCTATGTAATTGTGCCATTCTTGCGTGACGTGTTGAGAGTGCAACACTTTGAGCCCTGAAGATGATCTCAATAAAGATCGAAACGTTGACACGATAAAGAAAATGTTTTTCTGAAACCTACATCACACCAGACCGCATCTCACGATTTCTGAATAAATAACTATATCATTTTAAAACATTGGATTGCCATCAAAACCTACGAATGAAGGAGCCATCAAAAGTTCTTAGTTTTGTTGATTTAAAATTTTACCTTCATCACTGATCTGTGTGATTTTTATTTTATTTTACAGTAATGGTGGTATTTCATTTTTCATATTTTATCATAAAAATAAGTGCAGATAAAAAAAGGCTCAACTGAAAAATTCCTTGATTTTGCATATATTTAAAAATTTGTTTGCAACAATATTTATTTTGATATAGCTGAGAAAAGAAATTATCAAGTTTTTTTTTTTTTGAAAAATAATGTAGCTGGTCGTGAAGTCGGTCAAAATGTTCAATTATTAAGAATTAACGTTACCTTTATAAAATTTCTCAACTCCTCTTATTGTTTTCTCTTTCTTTGCCTTTTACTACCTCACTTACCTCTTTTTCTCTCTCACACTATTTCTCTTTCCATTCACTCTCTCTCTCTCCCTCTCTCTCTTTCTCTCTCACTCTCTCTTCCCTCACAGACTTTTCGAGCAACTTTTTGTTTATATATTAATATCTTACAATATACAGGTTAAGTTTAACTTCTGTTCCTTCTTATTTTTGTATTGTATTGATGCTTTTTCGGGAAAAATCTCGAGACACGTAAACTTTTATTTATGCCTAGTTTTTCAACTAGGCAACCAAAAAGTTTTGATCTAACTCTAAGATACGAATAAGCCTTTACTAATTCAAATGGCAAGGTACTCATCAATGTAAATATTTTGAAAGGCTTTTGACCCTGAATTCAACAGGTTTATTTTTGGAGCAACCGTTCGCAAAAAATTTCTTCCGTACATTGTTTTTCGAAAAACGAAATTTCCTCCAAATTCTACAACCAAAAACCAATTTATTTATTTATCATTGTAATTTAATTTTTTAAAACTCATTTTTAGAAAAAAGTGACATTTACTTTGGTGATTTAAATGTTGGTTTTTGTCTTTTGTTTTTGCCCTCGACCTGTAATAAAAATAATTAATGTACTATTAATAATCATCTAAGTAAAATTTGAGGTCCTCGTGTCACTATTATTTGTCAAATCGTATTGAAATTATTAAAAACAAAAAGCGAATAGTCTGCATAATTTATGTTCTGATGAGTTCACATTGAGAAATACTTGCTTCTAAAGAAAACTATTTTAAAACTCGGTGTGATGTTGTTTTTTCGTATGATCCTTAATTTTTCAAAGAGAATCCATCGAGGTTGGTGAAGAAACGGACAAACAGCCACCTTCAAAACCCGAAACGTTTTCACAAATTAAGTTTCTTTGTACGACAATCTGTTGGTTGAATAAACAATTATCAGAGGTAATTTTCTTGACGAAGTTATCCAGATGAGACTTTTTTGATGAAACTTTAATACGACACCTCAAATTGAAGGTAGAACGAAAATCAAACTTACTTTTGAACAACGTTTGAGTAACTTTGGTGGTTTCCGATCATTTTGGTCTCTCAGTCTAACGCGTTTAGACATTTCGACATCTTCAGTGATGGATCTGTTGTCCTGCCTCACGCTGTTTAGTAGGCAACCAGTGCCGAACCGCGTTTGTCACACCAAAACAGAATGGATAAACAGACCAAAATGATTGGAAACTGCCAAAGCTACAGGTTCATCACACCGCAGATCCTAAGAAGAAATCTTACATTTTCATCCTGCTTAAGAAATAACACGAGTATTTTCTATGTTATGAACACCATTCGATGCAAAAGTATAGCATATGGATACGGAATAGATCAGTGCATTAGTGCAAAGATATGAATGTCAATTTGGATGAAGAGCCAAATTTGAGTTGTTGGCAATATTGAATTTTTTTAAATAGGTATTTTAATTTACTGAATTGATAATGGTAGGTTTATTTTGCACTGTCGTCGTTACCTTAATCGTTTGGCTTCATCGATGAATGGACGTTTTTCCGCTTCAGTGAGCAATTTCCATTCGGCGCCTAGTCTTTTAGATATTTCCGAATTGTGCATTTTCGGATTTTCCTGTGCCATTTTCCTCCGCTGGCCCCTGGACCAGACCATGAAGGCGTTCATAGGCCGTTTGATGTGCGCTTCAGACATCTTTTGCGAAGTGGTCGTCGCCGTCGTCGTAGTCATCATCATGACGGTCGTCGTTCCTCAGTTACCATGACTCGACTGAGTTGTCGTCGGCTCTAACATCCTCGAGGGTATCTCGTGTCGGGGGTGGGTGTGTCCGCTTGGCCTCGCCCCGCCTCCGAGCAACCACTCCATTGGGTAGAAGTGAACATGGCGACAGCAACAAGTTAAGTTACAACCAACCTTCTCACCCTCAGCCCTCGACACGCTAGCCCGCAACCCCCACGCTCTGTTTATCTTAAGTCCAACTTTTGTAATTTCCACAGTAATTAGCGACCCGCCCTCGCCAACTCCGGTGAAGAATATGACAATGTTCCGGTTTACAGAGTAATTGGATATTTCCTGAACAAATAAACAACGTTTAAACGCCAGTAAGAAGTTTAAAAGACAATAAAAATGTTGAGCTTTGGCAGAAAAAAAAACACATTAAAATAACAATCTCACTCATGGAGAAAACTGCTTTTCTATATCCTATAGTTTATCATTCTTGCTATAGCATTTTTTAAATTAGGCTTCTGATAAAATTTAGATTTTTCTATTTAGCCTTACTCATATTCCTTCAGCACCCTTTCATCTTTGTATATAAAAATGAATGTTCGTTTGTGTGTTAATGACAAAAACGAAAACTACTGAACCGATTTCGATGAAACTTTCACACTTTGTTTTTATTAGTGCCGGGCGGGTTTAAAAAATATAAAATGGGAATATATATATAAAAGATTTCAAGAATTTGTGGCGTCCAACTTCACTTTCTTTCTCAGCCTTCCAGACAGGCCTTCGGCTCCCGGTTTGATATACGTTTCCCGCGTCTTTCAAATTCCGATTTGAAGGCGCTAACAGCCAACAGATTCAAAAACTACGCTAACGCTCTATTAATCGCAAAAATTACTGAATCGGTTATCATTGCAAAACTACTAATACAATATAGTTGCAAAAATAACAGAATTGGTTTCTTTAATGTAACGATAGGAAGATACAAACTTCACCGTTGTATCTTTAATATAGGCAGCAGTGGTGTATGTAGGAGAACGAACTGCCGGCAAGCGGCCTGACCGATGACCGTTCCAATCAGCCAATATTCTAAATTATGTAAAATATTATTAAACATTGTTTTACCGAATTCGGTCACTTTAAATTAAACGTGAAACGTAGTTTTGTTGTTTTGCCAATTGGATTTAGTAACATTTTGAATTTTATTTTTATAAAATGGAAGGGTGTGAAGTTCCGTATGGTCAGTTTTCTAACTTTTGTAAGTTTCTTACTGTTCAGTATTACTTGTGATGGATGATTTTACTGTATTATGAATTATTCACTAGTTTTCGTGATCCGCTTAACCAATTAATATCTTTCAATTAATTAAGGTTTTTAGTTGAGATAAAAAATTCAGTGTCTCGAGTGGGATTTGAACCCACGACCATCGGCTAGATACGCCGCAACACTACCACCTGAGCAATCATGACTTCGATCCACTCGGACACCAACTTCCCATCTCAACCCCACCTTTTGAATTTTCGCTCCCTTTTACCATTTTTCAATGGTGGTAGAGTAGCGGCGTATCTAGCCGAAGGTAGTGGGTTCGAATCCCGCTCGTGACACTGACTTTTTTATCTCAACTAAAAACCTTAATTAATTGAATGATATTAATTAGTCAAACGGACCACGAAAAATAGTGAATTTAATGTAATAATATTTTCGGTGACCCAATTCGGCGTTACCTTTTTTTTTAACAACCACCAACAGCCGCAATTCGATGCTGGTTGTGCTTAATGCATCCTAGTAAAACTGATTTTATTATTCCATTTGTGTTTTTAGTGGTCAATTAACCAAGTTACTCTTTCAATTAATTATTCTTTTTATGTAAGGTCTTGGTTGAGCCGGATTCGAACCCGAGACCTTCGGCTAAATATGCCGCTGCTCTACCACTTGAGCTATCATGACTTCGATCCTCTCTTAAAAATGGCAAAAAGAGGGAAAATTCGAACGGTAGTAGGTTGAGATGGGAAGTTAGTGTCCGGGCGGATCGAAGTCACGATAGCTCAAATGGTAGACCAGCGGCGTATTTACCCGAAGGTCGTGGGTTCGAATCCCGCTCGTGACGCTGACTTTTTTTTATCTCAACCAAAACCTTACATAAAAAGAATAATTAATTGATTTTATTACGTTTTTTATTATGCAAAAGTCAATTGTTTAAAGCGTTTATTATTATTACAGAGTGAACGTTTGTGATACTACTTGGCGTCTTCGTGAAAAAAAAAAATAAAATAAAAACTTTAACAAAAGCATATATGTACTTTGTGGCGGCCAAAAAAAGTGAAGGTTAATAAATGTTTGTGGTATGATAGGAAGCGATGAGGCAAAAGCAAAACATCGAAACCCCGTTGACTACCTCCAAGTGGGAATGTATTTTTGTAAGCGTGGTTAGTTAATTTTGTGTGCATGGGTGGGTTTAAAGCGGAAAATAGAGTAACTCATATGCCTGTTTATCCAGTTAGGCTAATTATTATTATAAATGCGCGTAGTGTGAAGTAGTAATCGTACTAAATTAAGTTAGTAACCGAGTAAGGTGACTACCTAACTTTTAATGAATGCATGAATGAATTTGTTAGCGTAAATGGAGATAGAATGTCGAGGATCCGAACACCCTACTGCTCTCCCAACGGTTTTAATTTGTACGTACATAACTTTTACGTTAGGTTAAGAGGTAGGGGTTCAATGGTATTTACAATAGAACACTTCGTGTCTCAAAAAACTTAAATTAGGTTATTGTTTCTAATAGGAGGAATGTGTGAATGTAATTATGAAGATTACATAGAATTATGGCCATATAGACTATATGGACTATATAGTGACTATATATGACTATTAGAAACCGGAAAAAATCCCACATTTCTCACCGAGAGAAGATGGATCTTAGGGCTGATTTTTTTTAGTCATTCAGACGATACTCGTAATGAAGTAAAAGCTCTAGATGGAAAAAATGATGAGAAAAGTTATTGATATGGCTCGGGTATAAAACTTCAAAAAAAAAATAGATAACATTTTAATCTTTTTATAGTCATATTCTTGCATACTCAGTGAACTAGATGTCATTTTTGCCAAGCTCTCTGAGAACTACGGTTTTACGCATTTTTACGAATTATAATAAAAAATTGCTTTTCGATCCTTAAGATGGACCAGGACGGGATACGCTCGTCAGTTAAGCTATAGCATTAAGAAATGCCTCCATAAGGTCTTCAAGTGTAAAATTATCAATAATCTCGACGAATGACACCTTCAACTCTTCCAATATCACCCATTTATCGAATTTGGTTGCTCGATACGGGAAGTGCTTTTCCTTCTGAAGCAATCTCATTTCATCCTATTTCCACAATGCCCTGGTACCAACGAGCAGTAGTGTTTGGCTCCGAGGGGAAAATATAAGTACTGTAGAGATTGAAAGAGTAGTGGTTAGTTTATTTTCATACACTATAGATTTTTAATTATACTGGTGTTTATAATCATGAATTATTTATTTCGAGCCTCAGAATGCAGAAAACTTGTAGAAACTTAGATACTGATTTGATTTTCATTTGATTGTCTGATCAATTGTCTTCTCTGCCCCGCTCTCATTGACATTTACACATAAATATAAAAGAGAACATATCTATCAATTCACTCTTTACTGGTGGCAGGCAGTAGACGTGCCAATGTTCAGCAGCATTTTTATGTCTCCTTATGGATGAAAACTCGCATTGGAGTATGAAGCCTTGAACTAGTGTAACAAGTATCAAGAGATAACCCTAAAAATGAGTACTAGCTATTGAAATTGTATCTAACTGTACCGAAAGTTGTGATAACAAAACAATTTGTACAGTTGTTCTTTGATGACTCCTTCCCATCAGTCATGATGCAACCCAAGATCAATATTTGTAATTAGTTCACAATAAAATAACACAGATTGTGTTCTTGGATAAAATGATAGCGTATCTTGTTGAGTTTAATTCGAAGTACTGTCAACTTATGTAATCCTTGTCTCAGAGAGTCGAGCACCCAGCATTCCACTCGGGGAATCAGCTGTTGATGGAACAACTGGCCACTTTGGGAATTTGGTTGCCTTCTCAAATGTCAAAGTTTCTCCTGTTGGCCATAATTTTTGCATTTGTTAAAAACGCCTATGCTTTTGTAGGTGGTTGATGCCTTTGCGTACGGCTGCTCTTAAGCCCATTATTATTTTGGGAACAGTTGTGTGGATGTGTTGTGCCGTCAGTGTTTATTTTATTTTTTCTTATGTCAAGGAGTATTAGTGTAACTTTCTAGTAAATTATTGTTGAATACAACAGTTAATACAATTGTGAAGAATGCACTCTCACCCTTTCCCTCTCCTTCCTCACTCTTTCGCCATCTCTATCTATCTCTCCTTCTCTCTCTCTCTCTCTCTCTCTCTCTCTCTCTCTTANACACACACACACACACACACACACACACACAGACAGACAGACAGACATACACAAACACACACACACACAAACACACACAGACACACACACACACACACACACACACACACAAACACACACACACACACACACATTCACTCGCCCTCTCTTTTTCTCTTACGCTCTTTCTCTCGCTCTCTCTCTATTTTTCCCCTCTGGTTTGTTTATTTCACTCTCTTTCTTTCTCACATCCTCTCCCTTTCTCTCTTACTTATTGCCCTCTCTATTTTTTCACTCTATCTATCTATCTATCTATCTTATTACATAGTATCTAATTCTTTCTTCCTCTATGTTTTATTTAATACACACTCTCCTTCCCTCCCCCTCACAACCATTCTCTCACTCTTGCTTTTGCATATTCTGTCTCCCTCTATATCTTTCTCTCTTTTCCTCTTTCTACTCTCTTTTCTCCTCTCTCTTTCTTTTCCTAGTTAACCTCAAGAGATGCCTTCGTGATCTAAATTTGCGAGATGTTTTAAATAAAACGCTGGTCTCTCTCTCTCATTCTCTCCTCTCTCTCTCTTTCTTTCTCTCTCTCTCTCTCTCTATCTATCTATCATAATACATACTATCTAACTCTTTCTTCCTCTATGTTTTATTTAATACACACTCTCCTT